GAAAGATATCACTGCATCATTGTTTGTAACCGGTGATAAACACGTTATCATGGCCACAAAGGTTGGTATTTCTATGCGCTTTTTGCATCTATGCAATGCAAAAATGCATATTGCCGAGGGATTGCCTCTGTGTGTGCGTCTCACAGTACGCGTCTGTACTGATTTCTCATCTCGAGATCTACAAAAGCTACAAGGCTGAAAGTTTGGGAACTTAATCCACACTCATGTGTGGGCTCGTACCCCCAAAATGGGCGCCCTTGCCCACGTGTTTTCCCCGTATGGGCATGTGAAAATTTTTAGCAGTTAAGCTGCTAACTCGGGAACCAGAGAAGCTGGAAGGCTGAAATTTTGAGGAAATTTTTTCTCACAGTCGTGATGGTCGGTCTTAATTCTTTTAGCTAGAAGCATTTGTCGGAAAAAACGGCGCCGTTGGCAACAAAAACCTGCGGAGAATTGAGCAAAAAATGCATCTTCGCGCCGAAGTCGGTGCGCTGGACAATTACTGTTATTTGCAGCGGGGACTGGCTGATCACCTGGATAAGCTACTAGGCATTGAGAGTTAGAATAAATGGAAACTGACCGATTCTGGATTAGCTTCTTCGGGATATTGTTGCGTCTTGAATGGAAATTTCAATTGGATGGACTGAATGGCAAGCCAGATACCCAGTTTGACACTTTAGTTATCGTTTCGCAGTTCCGCATCTCAGAATTGTTCAGAACATTTAGCAAATTTTTTTCCACGTCTGCTTTGAAGAATTGGCTGCAACACTAAACATTTTGCTTGTCGATGTTGCAAGCATTGACACTCGTCGCCTGGTTTTTTCCACTATCCAGCATTTTCAAACCTATGAAGTGCAAAATTTCACTTTCTTAAACTTGCTGACATATGTTTCCAGGATGGAAATCTTTTCCTGTTTGAATTGGCAACAAATGAAATGCTTGATATGGTGGCGAAAGCCCATGATGGTGCAATTTGGCAACTGGTGTCAACACCCGATAAGGTTATTATCATTTTTATGCGTTTTCTGCAGCTAGGCAATACAGAAAACGCATATTGACGAGGGGTTGTCTGTTTGTGTGTGTCTGTGTGTTCGTCTGTACCGATTTTTCATCTCGAAACCGGCAAAAGCTACAGGGTTGAAACTTTGGGGACATAATCTACATGCACGTACGGGCCCCCATCCCTGAAATAGGCGGCCTTACCTGTATGGTGCCCACGTAAAAGCCCGCCAAAATTTTTCTCGGATAAGTTGATAACTCGCGAACCAGAAAAGCTAGAAGGCTGAAATTTTAAAGGAATGTTCCCCGCGCGAGTAAATCTCAACGAGCTCAAACCCAGACATCGGGTATGCGTGGTACCCGCGTGCGGGCCCGTGAAAGTTTTCCAGTAAGTTGCTTGCTCAGGTGCCAGGAAAACTAGAAAGCTGAAATTTTAAGGGGACATTTCCTGCCAGTTCTAGCGGCCAGTCTTAATTTGTTTAGCTAGAAACATT